ATCGGTCATTTGCTAGGCATAATTATAGGTGAAGGGATTGGATGAAGCGGCCCGGCGATGCTGCACGGATATATGAATACATATGCAGCCGTACCTTCTTTAGCGGTTATTGGCAAGATGCCTACAGGAAACTCGTCCAAAATTGATTTCTAACACATTGAGAACGGAGGCTCTTTCTTCGCAGGATTTTGACCGTTTCACTCCGTTCTTTCGCCATTTCCCCACTATATAGCGCCCTACTAGCATTTTAGGCCGAGCACCAAATCATCGTGCCAACTGCCTTTAAGTCGTTTTGGCTGCTTACATACAAGTGAACACCGGGTAGTCATGTTAATAACCTGAGAGTCCTTTGAATTTCTCTCACTTGTAACCTTCTATGCTATGCAGTGCATATCCGATACATCAGAGCTTTTTTAAGGTTCCACCATTTGGATAACTTTGCCAAGAGTTTACAGGGTCTTGGCAGGTGATAACAAGTCTCACACAGTGTTCGCGAGGGTGTCCGGTTTTCCAATGAGCACAATTTACAGAATGTGGCATAGCACTTACAGGTATACCCCTCTCCAAACCCCTCCTCCTCCAAGCCTTGGCTATTAGGGTCCTTATTTAGGGTTTCTTATTGGGGTTTTCTAGTAACCATGCGTGAAAGACGTAGAGAAGAAGAAAGGCAAGAAGAGGTAAAATATTTCATTGCCTGTATGAAATTAGGTGGCAAACGTTTGGCTCAATACAAATGGGCATCGATTGGTATCTGGAAGATGACAATGAGGAATTGTATAGAAATGGAAGAGAATTTTCTGGTCCTAGCAATCGTCATACCAATTGGAGAGATCCTCCCTTGAAGAGAATTCAACCCATTTGGAGGACAACAAGACTCTAAGGAACAACACAGTTATTAATTCGCTTAATTATACAACAAACGATTCGGACAGTGAAACTCAAGAATGAAGCTCATAGGACTAAGAAAGCATGGTCTGGCTGACAGCAGCGAGAGGCGACGGCGAAGGTTGACTCCTCATGTTCCGGGACTTTCTCGAAACCTCCGTCGCTCATCAACTGTTCCAGAACATCCGGATCGCCGCAAACTTCGAGCACGACAAGTGTTGCTGAAATTCTGCTGGCTTGTCAGACGAATAAACGTTCCATACAAAGAATGTAGCACACCTTGTTTTGGGTTCAACAACAAATCCCGCCTATGCTAACCAAACCCTCACTCCGTCGGGCTCAATAAATCGTTGCCTTTTCTTAGGCTATGATCACTAATTTACACAACGTCTTGCGTTATGTAAGTGTAAAATAGCAAATTCGTGTTCTGTTGGTTTCTTATACACGTTAAAAATGCAAATTCCCCTTCAATTTACGAGAACGGACTCCCTCCTACAATTTATTTCGAAATCCACGCACCAGGACTTCGTGATACTTATCCCACAACGGATCTTTCTTTTCCTCAATGACCGAAAACCTTCTCGGTGATCGATGAGCATGAACTCTCACTCTGACTACCCTTGAATAGAGTATTTGTCAGCGATCGGAGATCGTTCGGTTTCTGAGTATGGGCAGGTTCTCGAAGGTCAGCCGATTCGAAAGCCTGAACACCTCTTGACATTGTCGTCAACACCTTTACTAGTAGATTCGAGACAAGTACAGATTATTGTCCTTGCAAACTCATAGGGACCGGGGCAGGTCGTGCAGGGAGGTGCAGAATGACGGTCTCGGTACGAGCCTCAGGGCCTGTCTCGATACGGTTCCTTCCCACAGCTTACCCACAATCTTAGCGAATCTCTCCAGCTTTTCTATCGCAAGGCATGAAGTATATATATCGTGTTTGAAAACAGAAAAAAAAATATCGCTCAGGATAACCCTTTTTGAGCTAACTGCCAATTTTCCCCTTCTGTGAGTTACACACAACGACGATGCATTCTTTATCAACTGAAGCTCAGACGGAGCATGTTTAGCCGCGCTAAGTGAATTCTGGCGCCAGACTACTCATGAACGGCTCATGCCGCAACGATCAGTGGTAAAGAGGCTGGCAAAGCGCCAAAACCCGCCGCCATAGAAACGCCCCGACTTAGCTCACTAATATTGACTATACTCCAAAAGGGACAGAACCACCAAGCATCTAAACAAAAGTTTGAGTCAACCGCTCCACTCATTCCTAGTGCCAGTTTTCCCGGAAAAGTGTTGATTTCTTGGTAATAGACTGAATAAAGGTAAAACCCTCTTATATGGAGTAGGAGGGCTTTGTTTGGCGCAGGATTGTGAACCTACTTTTTCCTATAAATGCAACAAGCCGAAAGGGAAAAAACCTACCGTGAGTTTTTGATGGCATTCCAAATTTCGATCCGTGCTTTTGTAGATCGATCTCGCTTGTACTGACAAGCCTGAGTGATGGTGAAAGAACTATGGCCCGCGCAACTTTTAGGCATTGTTCCACGAAAGGGAGTCGTTGTTCGCCATCGTTGCACTTTGCATGGAAGTAGTATCTCTGCAAATAAATCGAAAAATACGCTTGAAATCATGAAACATCTAAATGTCGCTCAATAAGGCACATCACTCTCAGGCTTTAGTGTTTACGCTTACTGTATCTAGAGATTGTGGATTGACTTGCAGTCCAATAATTTTCCCGAGGCCTCAAATAAATTGATTATTACATAATGTTCCCGAAGTAGACCTCAATAGTTCGCCTTGGTCGCATGGGCGGAGACACACCATTTCACCGCTGACCCAGTTCTCCTTTTTACCTTCCTAAAGCAACGACCGCGTGCATGTGGAAGATACACTGCTGGTTGTTGTCTCTTTCCATCTGTAAGCTGTGCTCTCAAGAGGGACCCGACCAAATTACAGAAAATTCCTGGGCCCTCGCTCATGACGAATTTGAGGGCTAGACATAGCGCACTTCAGAACCCAAGTTTCTTGATTCGAGTTGCTGCCCAAGCTTCTCAGGCAGTCCGGTTCAACAACCGACGCTACTTTTCACAGCTACATTGTCATAGATAACACTTGTTCTTTCTTAGGACGCTCCATGCACATCAAATGGGCGGGAAGAACTAACTACTGTCCATTCGTTGCCAGAAGTTCATTGCTGTGTAAAGGAATCCTTCCAAATACGGTAAAGAGGAAATGCAGTCACGTAAGAATGAAGGAAAGGGCACGCCAATAAGGAAGGCATAGTGCTGGACTATCCCGCCCATACAGCAGGCGCTTTCAAGTGGTTTTGTACTGAAGTTTGAGAAGGTTTGGTCATGTTTTAAAAATAGAAAATAGGCCGTATTTCTTAACTTGAGCGATTTGAACAAACAACCACACATACCTTTCCACTTGCTTCTTGACGGAACGGGATGTCCGACTCATCGATGCTGGCCGATACACCGTGAGGCGTCAAAATAGAGACTTGGTTTGAGCTCTGCAAGAAAAAAAATGACATATCGAAGAACGGTAATCTGGCGATGGTTGTCCCTTTGAAGATTCTACCATTTCTATTATTCTATTTATTCCTTTTTGGGAGCTTTATAAATACTTTGCGTGAGTTATATTCAACCGGGACGCTGAACCGCAGCTGGTGCAACCTTTTCCACCAATAGCTGCAGGCTTAGGATAGCCATCAACTGGTGGAATAGTGCTCTCGTGGCTGCGCTTAATGAGCGCCCCCCCCCCCACTTACGCCCTCTCGTTTTTGTAGAACGAAACACTTATAGGCATTGAATATGTTCAACAGCACTCACAAGTACCAACGCCTCGTTGTTTATTCGATAATGCGACGAGCCTTTTTCTGGGGTGAAGTCGTGAACTGATGACGAATGGCTCGAAAACGGACTTAAACGTGCACTCACCAGGTCATCATCTGTAATGAATAAAACAATAGTACAGCCGGTTTTTTTTCATAGATTCGCTCTTTATAGGGAGCTCATGTTCTCACGTCTATAAATTTGTGGAGCAAAATTCAGTAAATAAATACAACTGATTAATAATCTCGATTAGACTGCCGTCCGGAAACTGTCTTTAAAGTCTGGAGACTGAAGTACAATAGAAGCAAGCCTGCCCAAGACAGGAATTGAACCTTTGTCGCCACGGCCACAACGTGGAGTACTAACCACTATACTACTTGGGCCAAGCCCGACCAATAAGCGCCATTATCAATCAAAAAAGCGATTGCAGGCTGACTATAAAAATCACAAAACGCTGCCCAAGACAGGAATCGAACCTGTGTCGCCACGGCCACAACGTGGAGTACTAACCACTATACTACTTGGGCCGAGAGATGTCCAATAGGCGCCCCCATTTATCAATCGAAATGCTTTGTTTAAGCCTCGCGGAATCGAACCGGTGGTGTCGCCACAGCCATAACGTGAAGCACAACTACTATACTACTTGGGCCGAAGCGCTCGCGCGTTGTTTGCGACCGGAGGAAGGGGGGGAGGAGAGCATTAGCCAGAACTAGTCAAGCAACCGTAAGTGCAAAAGTTCTGACCCCCCTCCCCGTCGGCAAACTGCGCCCGGGGCTCTTTTATAGGCGTGCCTTATCAATCATTATTCATTTGCAAGCTGTTCATAGAAGCTGCCCAAGACAGGAATTGAACCTGTGTCGCCACGGCCACAACATGGAGTTACTGACCACTACATTAACTCGTTCGGAGAAGATGCTCCAATAGCGTGACTTATCGATCATAGTTCATTTGTAAACCTTTCAAAACGAATACAAAACACTGCCCAAGACAGGAATCGAACCTGTGTCGCCACGGCCACAACGTGGAGTACTAACCACTATACTACTTGGGCCGAGAGCTGGACCATATAAGCGCCATTATTCAATCAAAAAGCCGTTTGTAGGGCTGATTATAAGAATCACAAAACGCTGCCCAAGACAGGAATCGAACCTGTGTCGCCACGGCCACAACGTGGAGTACTAACCACTATACTACTTGGGCCGAAGCTGACCAAATAAGCGCCATTTATCAATCAAAAAGACCGATTGCAGGCTGACTATAAAAATCACAAAACGCTGCCCAAGACAGGAATCGAACCTGTGTCGCTCACGGGGGGGGGGGCGGCGGGTGTGGGGGGGGGGGGGGGGACCCACAACGTGGAGTACTAACCACTATACTACTTGGGCCGAGAGCTGCCTAACAAGCGCCGTTTATCAATCGAAATGCCTTTTGTAAGCTCAGAATCAACCTAGATGTCGCCACAGCCATAAACGTGAAGCCCAAACTACTATACTACTTTGGGCGAAGGCTCGGCGGGTGTTTTTGCGACCGCCGGGAGGGGGGAGGAGGCATAGCAGAACTAGTCAAGCAACGTAAGTGCAAAATGTCTACCCCCCTCCGTCGGCAACGATGCGCCGAGGGCTTTTTATTTAGGCGTTGCCTTATCAATCATTTCTTCTTCGCAACATTGTTCATCATGAAGCTGCCCAAGACAGAGAAATTTGAACCTGTAATCACAACGGCACAACCGGAGTACTGACCACTACATTACCCGGGCCGAGAGATGTCCAATAGGCGTGACTTATCGATCATAGTTCATTTGTAAACCTTTCAAAACGAATACAAAACACTGCCCAAGACAGGAATCGAACCTGTGTCGCCACGGCCACAACGTGGAGTACTAACCACTATACTACTTGGGCCGAGAGATGTCCAATAGGCGCCTTTATCAAATCAAAAAGCGATTGTAGGTGATTATAACAATACAAAACGCTGCCTCAAGACAGGAATTGAAACCTGTGTCGCCACGGGGGGGGGACCACAAACATTGGAGTACTGACCACTATACTACTCGGTCCGAGAGATCACTAACAAGAGCACATATCGATTGCTAGCCCTTTGTAAGCTAGCCACAGCTTTTGCGTAACATCAGCAGGACCGGATTTGAGCCCGTGTCGACACAATCATACCTTTTTAAGTGCTGCGCTACTTATGTTGACAGTCTTCACGCCATCAGTAGTAATTAATGCTTCTCCAGCGAGTTGGGCTCGCTTATCGCGGCCGCCAAGGGCTGAACGAACAGTTGTCCAGCCTTATCAGTCGATTCTACAACAAACCCTTCACTGATCGGTTTTGATAACGTGGAGATATAGCATGCTTGAAGAAGTCGTTACTGCTAGCTAGCAGCTGATTCAACTGCATTATCGGTCGATTTTATTGTGAGATTTTGACTTTGTACTGCAATGCCACACCACTTCCCCCATTCACCCCCAATTGCAAAGGAACTACGACGACATAAGACGGTATCGAAATAAACCTCATCCGGTTCCTTTGATGTCTTGGTCCAGTTTTCTCGTAAAAGTCACTTATCGGATGCTGGATATCTGAACAGCCGTCCAGTGGTCATGAAGATCACTCGACTTATTAGGTTATCTGGAATTTCTTATCAGGTATCCGGAAGTTAACACGGGTTTTTCGATTCCTGGTTTCATTTACTCGCTTCCAGGGCACATTTGAGCGCAGATTTTGCAATGTCATGGAACAAGCGAAAAGAGCATTGCACGCGCTATCTCCTTTTTATAGGAAATTCATAAAACTGCTGGCGCGAATGAGAAGTTTTCAATTCAGGAAGGAGGGAATCAGAGCAGGAATTTTCGGTCAATCCTACTCGAGTTGGGTGTCACAAGTGTTGAATGAGCACGAGAAGAATTGCCGGTGAAAACTGTTGCAGTCACTCTTTTGCTCAACGAAAATCGGATGTTTTCAGTCTCAACAGATGTTTTGAGAAACTTCTTGTTACATGCAATGAAAAAATTGGCTTTCCGTGACAATGGTCTTTTTTGTCGTGGATGTGAACAATCGCCCACAGTTTTTTTTCGAACCAAAGTTTGCCCATAAGAGGGTGACGTTACGGGTAGGTGATCTGTGTCTGTAATGACGTGACGGAATAGCTCCCTGAATCCGAGCGAGTCGATTGCGGGCAGCCAAGCACAATCAGGAACTTGGCGAATTCCCCAGCATGTTTAATGCCTGCCCCCGAAATTGACCAAGACCTCGGTCAGAGCCCGTGGCCACATGTACGACGGCTGAGATTTTGGAGGGAGCCAGGCTATCGGTCTGGGAGACGGCCAAGAGAAATCGTGAACCGCTGCTCCGTCCGCTGCGGGAGTGGGGCGAATTTCCACGTGCTAGACCCTTTCATGTCTAGTTCGGTCACACATTAATTCCCTTGACCACTTGAAATTGTCGTTAGCGGTGCGCGGGGACGTCGCGCGACGCCTGCTGGGCGCGCGAGAATCCCGATTCTCTCGCTCCCACATACCCATCAAGGTCTGCCTCTCCATAATTTATTAACAGGATATATTTTCTACAGCGCGTCTGGGACTACTTCAAAGCTTTGAGATGGGATAGGCGTTGCAGGGTGGTACTCGAATGGAGAACGTTGCAACCGCCAAGTTTTTCGCTGACATGTTTCATTTCGAGAGCCATAGTCTCAGCTAGAGTCATGTCTTTATCGAACAGAGAACAAAATGGCATTTGTCTCCAATTGAAATGTCCCACGAGTAAAACATCCTAGCCATGTTCAAATGCACCCCATGCTCCGTTTTATAAGGGAATTAAGGAGTGTAATCCTTGCGCGAGGAGTGCTTTGTCATAAAACCTAATTTTAGTGGAAGAGGAACAACTTTCCATGTTTCACCTGCTGCACAAATTTTCGAGAAGCAAGAGGCGGTCAAATTCCGTTGCTGCTCCTTAGGAAGAGTACCTAACTTACAATCGTTTTTTTCCGACCGAAAAGCTTTTCTCAATGCTGAAAGTTCCCTTTTAAGATCGGGGTCGGAGACCTGCATTATTTTTCGAATATCTTAATAAGTGCCTGATAAATAACTTCTACTTCTGCGTTCACAACTAACTCCTTATTGCCCTCGTAAAGTTCTGGAAAAACGCGCCTTCACTTACCGACGAACTTTAATCGGTAGTGCAATGCCAGCGGATGAAATGGCATTCGAAGTCTCTTCGATGATCGGCTGTGTAGCGCAGTGGAGAGCGATGTGTAACGTATGGCAGTCTCTTGTTCGAAGTTGTTGGCAGGCCACCAGTACCGTACATGATTGACAGTCTCGTAGGAAAACACTGAATTTCTGTCGCTAATATACGGAGAGCATAGTAAAGTGGCCATTATATGGAATTCAAGTAAGGAAATTCAATATGGCAGTCAATTTGAAGGCAGTTGGCACGATAAATCCCTAAGACGAGTAGGATTGATACGCCTGGCAGGATAGAATTCCGCGACCCTGGGCAGGCGCTGCATAGCGGTTTCCCCGAGGAAGGTGCCCTTATAAGGGCCCTATCAAGCCACAACTTTACGTCCCAAACGCCCGCCACGCCCGCCCGCCCACAAATGGACGACCGTTTGACGCTCGTATTCATTCATTTGCTAAGCAAATTATGAAGCGAAGGGATTGGTATGAAGCGGCCGTGATGCTGCATGCATATATGGGTACACATATGCAGCCGTATCTTCGGCGGTGATTGGCAAGATGCCTACGGAAAACTCGTCCGAAATCGATTTTCAAGTCACTGAGAACGGAGGCTTTTCTTCGCAGGATTTTGACCGTTTCACTCCGTTCTTTCGCCATTTTCCCACTATATAGCGCCCTACTAGCATTTTAGGCCGAGTAGGAAACCATCGTGCCAACTGCCTTTAAGAGATGTAGGAGAAACAAGCGTAGAAGGACAGAATTCCGCGCCCCTGAGCCAGCGGCGTGGCTCTTTCCAAGAAGGATACCCTTATAGCGCCCCATCAAGCTGCAAAATACCGCTATTGCTTCAGCTTCATTTGCGAAGTACAATATGAAGCGAAGGGATTGATATGAAGCGGTTGCGGTGCTGCATGGATATATGAGTACATACATGCAGCCGTATCTACCATAGCGGTTATTGGCACGATGCCAACGGGAAACTCGTCCGAAATCGCTAAAAATAAAATCGCTTCCTGAATGATATAGAATGAGGGCTTTTCCGCAGGTTTTGACTGTTTCACTTCGTTTTTTCGCCGTTCTCAAACTATATAGCACCCTGCTAGCACCTTGTTAGACCGACTGCCAAATTGTCGTGCCATATGACTTTAAAAGTGCTGAAAAACTAACCTGCCAGCACAAGGAGCTAACACTATCAAGCAATCTGAGCAATCGTCGACCGTTATTGTGGACGTGTGGTCGAGCACAAGTAAGTTGCTACCCTGAAATCAGATAATTTGAGAACTGCGCATTATTTACCATTAACTATCCACTCTTCAAACTTCAGGACGGAGTTCGCTCAGAATTCTTCCGAAGATAGAAAATGCCCAGAGAGCGTCACCTTCCAAGCACGAACTACGTTCAGAGTCACTTATTGTTAGTATAGAAGTCAGTTCAAACAAACTCATTTATGAAAATCAAGAACGGCACACTCATACTGCCTAACATGTCCCTTCGTCCGCAGTGAACTACAGTATAGATTACAGAACTACAGTATACATTACGCGGATTGCGACAGCAAAGCAAAGGCTCAATGGTGAAGAAAAAATGATCCATAGTGGGAGATGCCGCTCTGCCTCTAGTTTGAGGCACTTTTCCTTTCTACTGTAGACCCATGTGCGAAGGCTTGTGTACTCGTGGGGAACAAAATTACTACAGGAAACTTTACGCTGAAGTGTACACTAGAAAGACTGCACACGCACTTATAATAAAGGCGTGCAGTCGCAGAGACAATAATAAAAGGCGCAGTCCACA